TACAATCGCCACATAAACATATTATATTTATCAATAACGAGACGTGCACCATAGAACCAGGGGAACCGATATCACCAGATCATAAAATGGAAACTCAGTTTAGAGCATTTCACACGTTCTTTGGCAACAAAAAATATTTTAATGTCGAGCAGTTTGAAATGTGAAGGCTGCCGTTTTCTTCAGCTCCACTTTTCCTCCAATCACTGAGCTGTAAACGAGGGACGAGCGTCCTCCGTCAATCTAATGACGTCCGACATGTGTTTGAGGTTAAACTGAGTCGTTAGACCTGAGAGAACGTTAAATATGAAATACTATGAAACTCTATGTGCAGCTCAGGTGGAATCAAACAGACAAACCGGCTGCTGAGCACAGACTCATGAAAATACTTTGTGTAAGTAAGAAAGACTCCAGACTGAAACCACGAGCCGGTTTACAGACACTTCAATGATCAGTCTGTCGATTCCATGACTAACTAATAACATATTCATAGTAACTTTGAGTCCTCTTGTAGTTTTGTGTCTCTATGTGGTCGTCAAATATTCAGAGACAAACAAACCGGCGAGCGATTCACGTGAAACAAAGGAAGAAGAACGTTGTTTGTGAATCAGACTATTCTCATTGTGCGTTCCTCATGAAGCGCACATCGTTGTGGGTTCCATCTCTTCACTGCTACGTTCCCTCTCCGGGTCATGAAGTCTGAACTGCGGCATGAACTCCACAAGCTCTAACTCTACAAACACAAGGACGAATGATTTGCATCTTTTTCCTGTGACTTTTCACAGAGTTAAACAAACTCAGCACAATACAGCAATCAGTCACGGCAGCGAACCATCGATCGGTGGAGCGTTCAGGGTATTTGTTCTTATAATCATCTAGAGCAACCTTGTAAACGATCGATGGATTATTAGAACTCAACCCGAGGGGAACGTGATGACACACACAACTTTAACAATCAGTCCGACAGTCGAGATATTTAGAGATGAAGTGATTGACGGACGTTAAATTACAAAAGGCCTGAACGTGTGCAGCTGCTTCATCAGACTCATCCTGACAACTTTTGTGTTCATCAAGTGTCGTCAACGTTACACAACATCCTGACTGTCGTCGCCAAGTGATGAACATGAAACCTTGAATCAAAGTGGAGAATTCTCTAAAATATAAAAGCACATTATTCAGGAAGCTAAAAAACGAGAAGAAACAAACACTTGAGGAGTTTTCATCATTTCTTCATGTGCTTCCTTTGACCTCGCTGATGGGAAAATATCAAATATTTCACAATGACTAGTAATTCATTCATGCTAATAATACACGTAAAGGTTAAAGCAGCCACGCTTCATTTGTCATGAATGACTCACAACACAGGAACAATATCACGGAGGAATCCAACATTCGCAGGGAATCAGCGTTGAATTCTCGTGAAGTAAAAATGTCATCGTCTCGTAGCCTGAACAATTTTTCTACCTCCGTCCTTTGCTGACAATGTCATCTGATGGGCACTCGTCTATTTTAAAAGCTTTTAGGTTGCGCTTGAATAGAGATTATGTTAATCCTGAAGGTGAAATGAACCTCGCAGTGTCAAATCACTGGCTGAATTACAGCCTCGCCCCCTCTCCACCGAGTCCTCGGGGTCCTGTGGGTGTTTTGGTCTTTAAATCACCGAGAAACACGTTTGCTTTTATCTCGTAAATTGACTTAATTGTGTTTACTGTATATCCCTGGGTGGTGTTGGTTTTACCTTCAGAGTGCTGCAGTGCCCCAGATAGATACTGATCACACGCTGCAGATCTCTGAGAGATCGGAGCCACTGCCAGGAGGACGTTTGAAGTTTAGACCTACCTGCTCAGTCATTGTGTAAATAAGAGGTTATTAATTAGAGGAGTCGATTGTATATACATTGTCTGGATGAAAACATGAATTAATCATGGATCTCATGAATTATAGAAGTTCAATTCTAAGAACATTGTGAAGGAAAACTTTAAAATCCTGTGCTCAGTTTTGTTTAACTTTGTGTTTTGAGAAACAGTTTTTAGGTTTTTAAACCTTGAAAATCTCAGAAAGTGCCTTAAAGTGCGTCGAGTCTTAGAACAGAAGCAGATTCTCCATTTTTCTTCTCTGTTGACGTATTGAAGTTTTAAATCGGGCCGAGCAGCCGCCAGATCAATCGAGACCATGAAACATTTGATTCGTAGCAAATAAATATTGGAAAACAGAATAAAAGACAGAGGTTTAAGACCGTGTCCATAATTATCTAAGAGTGAGGAAACTACACATCCCATAAACCATTGCAAACGACTTCCGGCTGCTTCTTCTAGAATTCAACCTTGTTGTGAATAAGTGCGATTTATTGTCGTTTGTCTCATTAAGTGTGGAGCATCGTAACCTGGTGTCGCGACGCTGATTGATCCGAGTGGTTGTGGTGAATATTTCCATGGCAACAGCGAGCTCCACCAATCATAGCCGTCGCTACTACAGCTGAGGATTGTGGGTAGTGTAGTCCTTGACATCCCGACATGTTTTATCGAACACCAGAGACGGAACTCTTGGTGAGTAAAGAAATTAGGTTTGAGGCTAAACTCGCATCGCTTCGTCCGGATCGATAAATAAACAGCTGCTAATGCTAACGTGGACTGTGTCGCTATCCAACTTATTCACACGGCAGCCATTTTCCTCTGTTGTCACGCACAGTGGTCGCTGATAAAAACTCTGAAGAATACGACCAGCACATTTTCATAAAGACCTAGAAGAAGAGACGCTGGATGGTTCATCTGGAGGAACATGGGACCACGATTTAAGGTAAATCCATATATTTGATCGACTACTAGCTTCTGTTGGAAATAGAAATAGCGTCTGTGATGCTAAAGTGTTTTAGCTTGTTTTTGTTGCAGATTTGAGCGAAGATTCGCACAAAACACGACGTTCACACGAGAAGTGGACAAACCTGAAGATGGCGCTAAATGAACATATGATAATTAATCTTGAATGTTTGCATCACAAGAATATATATGAATATTTTAAACCCAGTGGGATGAATCCTCAGGAGATGATGAACGTCTGTAAGAAATGTCATTACAATCCATTCGTCACTAAAGATATATCGGTCTGGATCAGACACTGCTGTAAAATATTGATTTTACCTTTTTGGTCAAAGAGTTTTTTCGTAAGAGAGCAATGGATGTGATTTATGGAGCAGGTCACTTTTCTGTAGCTGTTCGATTCCACTTGAGGAGTTTGACCTTCGTAGAAACTGTAGAGCAGCAGAGTTCAAGAACAGTTCGTCACCGCAGCAGAAACCTGAAGCAGTTTCTAACAGAATCTGATAAATATCCAGAGAGACACTGAAGGTAAATACAGGTGGGACCATTGATTCTGTGACCTGGATCAGGTTTCATCCAGTATTTCTGATGGTTATTGACACCAGTTAGGACGTTTGTCTCCTCTGGTGTGTTTGGTTTCCTTCATGTTAACAGACTTACGCAGCTTTTACATGTTTCCTTTGTGTTTCATCCCATTTTTTCTTTTACGTTTCGTGATTAAAACACCAGTTTTCACAGCGGGGACCGCTTGTCTTCAGGACATGTGCATTTCTTCTGGCATTTCGTGCAATATAATCCGCAGCAGTCCCCCTTTTGTGTCCACATCTTTCACATACTTTTGTCTCTGGCTCATTTGTTTGCTCATTTTTTCACACAAACAGGATTTACCCGGGGGGGGGGGGGGGGGGAGGAGGAGGAGTAGGGCAGAGGCAAACATCTTGTTTTTGAATCTTTTGTTTTTGCTTTCTCTGACGACATGCAGGACTTACTGGTGGTGTTGTACTTGACCCCGTGGAACATCTCCGGACAGGGTCGCGACACCATCTGGCCGGCGCTGCTCCTGGGCCAGCAGGTGCCGATGCCATCGATGGAGGTGTCACAGTAGAGTCCCGAGCCTGAAGCGTGGAGGGGGGGGGGGGATGTCAGACACATACATTCCTGACGTGGCTCAGCACTACATATAGACACACTGAAATTCTGCTAATGCCTCCATGATGTTGGCAGTAAACTGCGGAGCTGAGAACTCAGCTTGTGTACATGAGATTTAATGATTACTGCTGCACTTTGCTTTGCTGCGCTGAACGTCGTCTCCTGTGGCTCGACGCCAGTGTCTATTTCCAGCATTGTTCTCCTCTTTGATGTTTGGCGTTATAATCTGAGTTCACATCTAACTTGTTCCCCGTGTGGGGGATTCCACAACAACTCCTGCTTTGTAGTAACAGCGCAGGGAATCAGTTTCACACACGTGAGACGAGAAACGTGTCCAACTCACCGCTCCACTGATCGGTGGCGTTGCCCAGGGTTTGGTTCAAGGAGGCCGCCAGGGACTGTACTGAAATCCAGAGAGAGAGTTTCATCAATAACCAGAATATCTGTTTGCACAGTTTGGAAGAGGCAATGAAAATCTCATTAGATTCAGCTTATCAGCGACAAAGGGTTGAGCATTAAAGGGCAACGGTAAACATTGGTGACAGACCTTTCCCCGAGCAATAACAGAACGGTAGCTGTGAATATGGATGTGGACGTGCCCTGAGGGGTCAGGCTATTATTTCTTTAATAACTCAAGAAGATTTAGATGAGGAGATCCGGAAATGACGATGCTCCGCAGGGCAAAAGTTGACGCTTAATGCTAATGTGTTTTTTTACACCAGTGTGTTCACACTTCTCTGTGGTGAGAAAATGATTTAATCCAAGAAAAAAAAAAAAAAAGAGAGAGAAATAAGCAGGGATTCGTTTTCTCCTCACAAGAGAAACCACAGCGCTGGTCACGGATATTTACATCTTCCCGACAAGCCTGAGAGAGTGTGTGAATCTCATCTGTCAGAAACAAGAACAGAAGACTGACTTTGACTTTTGTCTTTGTTTTCTTTTAACTCATATTTATTCATCTCTCCCTGAATGAACCATTTCATTAAATTTAAATTCCTCCTTTAACCGCAGCAGTGATCATTTCTTCAGCTGCCAGTTATAACCCAAGGGTTTGTGTCACACATCAAAAACACACACAATCTCCACCAGGAGAAACCCACGACTGCTGTGTCTGGTCTTCACTCTGATTGGCTGTCGCATTCCTTGAATTGCGTTTGAGTGGCGGGTGTTAGCAGGAGGCTAGTTCAGAGAGCTAACATTAACAGGTCTGTCCACTGAGATCGACATTATAGATTATATGACATGTTTAAAGGCAAACATTAGCCTCAGCCGGTGTAGAAACTCTACCTGACAATGACACACGGCTTATCTCCGTCTGTACGTGGAGAACGTGCTACGTGCACAGGGAGGGTTGTGTTATAGGAAATGTAGGATTCCTTCAGGATTCCCTCACAGCAGACTGTCTCCTGGTGAAGGTGCTCTAACCTTGATGAATGTGTCAGCAAACTGATCCGCTCTATTTCTGCTGATGTTATTTTCATTTCCCCTGAAGTCAGCGTCAACGTGAAAGAGGAGAAGCTAAATTACAAAGCCCGTAAAAAGACATATCCTCTATGACCTGTATGTGATAGAAGATATCATCAATAAGAAACACATTTAAAACAAGTGACATCCATCTTTCCTGCAGCCTATATAAATTATAAATTATAAATTATAACTAATGAAATCATCTCAGCTTCGGCCATTCTGGTTTTTTTTTTTCATCTGTCCCTGAGTCATGGAAAAATCTTATTTAAAGACAAAGACAAGACAACGTTTTGAGCTTTTGGACGACAAAACATTTGATTTGTAGAATCGTTGTTACTGGAGCAGATTGTTGTTTTAAACTTTTGAATCGTCTGAGACCAGATGGAAGACTTTGACACCACAGCAGATGAGAAGAGGTCAAAGATTCAGTCTGTTCAGTGTCAATTTTAAATACAGAACTTCAGCTGAAACTAATTATAAGTGAAATTAGGTGATTAACAGAAGCTATTTAACTACAATTCAATGTCATTAGATAATCAGTTCATGCTTTAATTGGTTTAATCAAGCAAAACACCAAACGCTCTGTCGCTCCAGCTTCTCTTGTCCCAGCAATTTCTGCTTTTCTCGGTTTTTAATGATTTCAACATAAATATGAGTTTGTGTAAAAATGAGTTTGTCAGATAAATCGTGTGTGTGTGTGTTTGTGTGCGTGTTTGTGAGGTCAGCACAGAGATGGAATAATAAGACAGTTTGCCAATATCTACAAGGGGAAAGTTGTGATTGAGGGCGAGGTCTCTGTGTTTAGCGGTTACCATCTCGACTGAAAATCAATTCAATCTGGAGCACAACAGTGGAACACATTGAATCTTCACATCGGTCTGTTGACTGGGAAATAACTGCCAGGCCTCAGAGCTCGTGAGAGCGGCCGTGGTTGTCGACTTACATGAGAAATTCCCTGACAGCATAAGTAGAGCTTCACATGTCAGATCTGCTGAGGAGGCTGACGGCAGGAGGCTTACGACGGCACACACCTGCAAACAGAGGAGAGACACGGAGATCAGGCGTAATCTGTGATTCAGATGGCATCATCCCTCCGTCCTGGCGACTCAGTCTTTTCTCCAACGTGCTCCCTGTAATTCCCAGTTACATGAAGTTGTGCTGAACCGAGCTGAAGGACTCATCCTGCCTTTGAGCGGATGATGCATGTATTTACAACACCTCCCGCCCAACGCAGCGCTCTGAATACAGAGCACTTTGTTGAGCGTAATCATCCTCCCTGTGAAACACATGAAACACACTTTCATGTTAGCAGATACGGGCATTCAATGAAATATTAAGGCAAAGACATGACTTATTACCTCCTCTGAAGGTTGCAATGTTAAATTTACAGTATTTCCGTTTGTGCGTCGGGGTGGGTGAGTGGGGGGGTAGGGGGGGGGTTGCCTACTTTGCATTTGTGCAGAGGGGAAAACATTGAATTATGCACATAATTATAAAACGACAGTAGAGCGCTCAGGAAGTTATCTGACTGTATCTGCTGGATCTCGTGACATAAGCAGCTTACACCGGTGTTTTATTTGTTTCCACCACAACAGGAATATGAGAACCTGTATTTATGGTTTGGATTAATGGCAGCACAGCGGAGTTCAGGGTTCAGAGTCTCAGCCAAACACTTGGTCAGACGAAAACAAACAAAGAAGGATTGAAATCTGAACCAAGAGGACTCAGGAGACCGTCCGTTATCTATCCTCGTAGCATTGGGCTGACATTGGACGAGAGGCGACATTCACCCTGGACATCACAGGGACAAACAACCAGTCACACTCACAGTCACACATGCAATTTAAAGTCCACAATGCACCCAACGCCAGTCTACATGTCCTTGGACTGTGGACAGAGGCCGGATAAACCCCCCCCCCCCACAGATTCTGGGCAGAACATGTAGACTCCACTAAGAAAGGTCCATAACGTTCATTAACTGAATGTCTCCACTTCTTCCATTATCTAACGATGAAGCTGCCATCTTGTGCCGTCACAGTCAGTCTCAGCCGTCAATCATTTCTATGTCATCAAATAACTAAGACATCATCAGACACATGAACACTTGATCAACATCAGTGAGACGAGAACTACCTGAAACCACAGAAACCAGTCGGTACTTTGATTATTTTTTATTTTGGTCCATGTCCCCCGGTCGTCATTTCTGCAAATAATTGACCGGCTGGTTAAATCACAAGACGTGTGTAGTTTGAGCGGAAGCTTCCAGTGGATGGGATTCATTAGAGGTTCTGTTTTCACCCCTTGTCTGTGAGCGGAACAACTTCTGAAAAGATTTTCTTGAAACTTGTTGGCAGGACGTGGTCTGGGTCTTTAACATTGTGATTTCTTACAGAATAATTTATCTTGATGGAACAACCAGTCGTGTTAAGGGAACTGATTTCAGGGTAATTAGATTCAGATCCACATTAAAATCTGGATCTGGTGAATTTACACGCAGGTTCGTGAGGAGACAGTCGGGCCTTGTGGCAGGTTTCAGCTCGACTGAGACACATTCTCGTCTCGGATCTTTTATCTGTGGCTTGAGAAACGGTGACTGATTCTTCGGCCTCCGTCTTGGGGACTGGAATTCCATAACAGCAAGATTGTGTAACAACCTGGAAAGATGTAGTTTAAAATGCATGAGCAGGTCGGACATAACATAACATAACATCCATTATCCATACCGCTCCTTTGAAAGTCACATGGGGGTTTGCAGCCAATCCCAGCTGACAGTGGGCGAGAGGCGGGTCCATCCTGGTCGTGTTTACTGGAGCTTTTTGCAGTTTGGTGAATCTGGATTGAATTTAAGAAAACTGTCTAACAACGATCTGAGAAATACGTCAGGGGTCAACGTCCTCATTCCGACACTCTAGTTACTCATCCAGTTACTTCTTGACCCTCGCTCGGACCACACCCATCTCTCCACTCTGCCTTTATCATCACACCTGCATCATGTGACGCCACTGCGGTGACAAAAATCTGTCCGCATATGAACACCTGCCAAAGCACTCACAACCTAAGTGTTAGTTCCTGCTGCAGCCGGTGCGACCAGGACCACAGTTTAACACGATCACACACAGACTCACACGAACACAACACAGCAGTGCTGCTGGCGGACATACAGTGAGTGTTTGCATTGTGCTTCATGTTTCGTCTGGAAACGGTGAACTGCTGCCGGCACACACGCAGCATCTGTCAGTGCCGTTTCCCTGAGAGGCACAAAAGACTGTAAAATGTCACCAGTTCACTTCTTGTTTCCTAATTGACCCCCAGTAAACGAGGTGACGTCTCAGTGCAGCTGTCCTTAAGTGTACGCTGGTCCCCGTGGACACGAGGGGGCGGCTGCTATTATCAATAAAGCCAATGATTCATTTCCTTCTTAAATAAAACATCCTTCAGCTCATCAATAATGCATCACCTGAGACAGTAAACACTTCACATGTGTCAGACACAACGTCGGCTGAATTTTCTTCAGCTCTCCGGGTCGTGTGCACACTCACACCGATGGTTAAAGCAGCGTGAGGTAGTCGCACCAGATGAAATGTTAGAGTGCCCCAGATTTCAAAGAAGTGCTGCTGATGGTTCGCTGCGTCTGTTGGCCGCCGGCTGACGGCTGTGCAGGTCTCATGGTTCTGTAACCTACTGTCCCAGCTGTCCGCCGCTTACACATCGTTAACACAGCCGAGGCCACAGCAGGAAAACCTGCAAGTATTTCATCTGGGAGCATTGTTTTCAGTGCTGGAGGTAATACTCTGGTACTTTACCTGAGTAAAAGTATTTGGGACCAAGTTATTGATGCATTGATATGTGAGCAGCATTTTAAATGTTGTAGCTGGTTGAGGTGAAGCTGCAGCAAACCTACATCTTCTGTTTTAAAATCATATTTGATGCAGCGCAGTGAGAAAACCAAGCTTTATTTTTCTATTAAATCAACTTTAGTTTTGCTGTTTTATATTATTTCTGCTTTAAATTTCCCTTTATTCTGCTCCACTCGACTTGTGGAACCAGAGTCAGGAGTTATGACTTGTCCCAAAACCGTATTGTCATGAATCCATCATGTTTCTGGGTGATCACGTGGAAAACGTACGAGAAACATTCAGCAAAATGTGAAACCTAACTTTTAATTAAAGCTGATGAAAAATAGTTGAGTGAAAGTTGATACAGAACAGTATGAATTATTAATGGCAAGGAACGAGGTACATTTACTCAAGTTCGGTACTTTACTTGAGCATATTTTACTTATTGATCCGTTGTGGGAATTCACCAGCCGCTTATAGCAGCTGCAACGTTAAAGCAACTGTGATCCAGTACTTCTGTACTTGTATTAAAGTAATGAGTATTTGTACCCAGTGCTACTTATACTGCATTACATTTAAAATGGAAATATTGTGTTTTTTACAATATAATCAATAAATCAATCAGTTTGAGGTCCGATGACTGTGGATCACATGAGTTAAAGTCAGCAGCACCTTTATCAACTGTAACCTTTGTACTGTTTGTACATTTTTAACTTGTACTTACATTTTACTTCTCTGTGTTACTTACATTATACTTAAATATTGTGTTTTTTATAAGATAATCAGTAAATTACGATTGGTGAGTTATTGATCCCTCAGGTTAACTTCAGCTGCAGCAGTTTAGTAACAAATACACTTGTACTGTTTTTAGTGTTTCTGCACGTGTGTTGTTGCCACTTTAACTTCATGCGACCACATCTTCCACCACTGCTGCACAGAAATACTTGTATTTGGGCAAAGTAATAAAGCCAAAGTACTCAGTAAGTACTTTGTCTGGTATGTGACATGTGAGTTGCAGTGAGTCGGGGGGACAGGCTCTTAAATCACAACAAGAATAGAAGCAGGGTCGTTTCAGAAAGAGGTTTCAGAGGATTCTTTACTATTCTTGGTGGCACAGATTTGTCCACACAATAGGGGGGAGGTGGATGAAGTAATCCTCCTCAGGCATCTGGAGCAACATCTGCATGAGCAAAACAAAATAGACCACATGCCCCGAGTGCTGCCTCCTGGGCTCTGTGTTCTGCTCACAACAGAAACTGTGAGTTTACGCATCAGTGTGTTTTCTCCTTCTCTTCAGAGGAAGCGAGAGCTGCGGCACAAACACTGTTTCCCTGCGTGTGTTCCTCCCAGGTCGCGGTTTGTCCAGCATCAGCAGACAGCGGATGAGTTGTGTCGCTCGGGATGCTGTTCTCAGGCCATCTTAACCCCACAGGCTCCACTCATGTCTCTGTGTTTGAACCTAAACACCATCACATCCTTTCTGTCAACTGATACACAGCAGATTGTTCTAAATACCCGGAGATGCTGATGTGCTGCAGTGAGAACCAGTCTGCTCCAAACACAGGAGGAGGATTCTCCAAGCACCTCTTTAGGGTTTCTTTTAAAATAACTGTGAGATGGAGACAACACCCCCCAAAACCCCAACATCTGGATGGGATGATGGTGTCAAATCCCTTCACATCTAGATTATACTCAGCTGCAATCCGCTTCTATTCAACTGTCTTAATTAAAACACAGAGAATGGGATGAGGTCAAAGCGCAAAAAGGCGCAGAACTTACCTGGAGCAGAAAGAAGCATTTGCGACGCATTTCCAGACCTTTTTTTATTTCTCACATACTGTTCCTGGGTGAACTGAACGTGTTTGTGCCAAGAGTTGTGTTTTGTGTCCTCCACTCTGCACAGGGACAATCCTCCGAGTCTCTGCTCTGAGGAAAAGTCGCATCAGCCAGAGATGAGGTGTTTTTTTAGGAGCGAAGTCTCCACGTGATTGTCTCCGGATGAAATCAGAGGTGATGTTCCGTCGCGATCAGCTCACGGAGGCAGAGATGTTCCACTCGGCCCCCGGGTGGATGAGGCGTCCTCCCCGGTCCTCTCCGTTTCCCCTGGATGTCTAATGAAGTCGTCAGTGTGCGTTAAGCTGGAGACCGCACCTTGGAGAGACGCGCACAGAAGCTCCCTCTCTCCATGCAACTCCGCAGCTTCCTCCTGCACCGTCCTGCTCCTCCAGCTCCTCATCCGGCGTCTGGCCCGTGCGTGGTGCCTCCGCTGTGGATCCGTCTGCTCCTCGACGCGCCGCCCACGTTGTGCGTATTATTGTGGGGAGTGATCCTGCGCGACTGAGGAGGAATAACTCCGCGCATCCCCTCGCGTGGAGTTAATTATGCAACGGCTCTCCGCTGCTCCCTAATCCCTCTGCAATCTACACGTCACTGCGACCACAAAGTTGAAGGGTGAAGTGAGTTAGGGGTGAATCCGTGCGCAGAGGAGCAGCTCTCATCACGCGTCCAGGGAGGAGAGGAGCAGCTCCTCACCGAGCACATTTGGCTGCGAGCTACGAGATGGACAGATGGTCCCACTGAGTCAATACTGAAGAGTCCCCGGGGGACGAGTTTGAGTCACATCCACAGAGCAGAGCTCCACAAACACGCTGCTCACAGAACGAGAAGCTCAGGTTAGAGACAAGAGATCAATTAGTCAATTATACAGACTCAATAACGATTCTAATTAAAGATTCACGTGAACCGTTCAAAGATTCATGATGATAAAGTGAAGCTTGTTTATAGTGTTAATACAGACA